TCATTCAAATCAGACGCTTAGTTCTCTCAAAAACTGCCATTGTTTGCACATTTAGCTCTATATCTTCCGCCAAAAACTAATCACCTCTTTTCCCAATTATTTCAAATAGAATGTTTTTTAAATCATTCAAATCAGATGCTCCGTCCTCTCAAAAAACTCGATTTCTATTTTCTGCACTCTTTGCTCCGTATCTCCGTAACGGCTGGACTTGCCTTAGCCAAAAACTAATCAGCACATCTACCTATCAATAGGAATCGAATGTTTTTTCAACCATTTAAATCGGTTGATCCGTGCGCCCGAAAACGTGGACGAAAGAATGCGGACATACAAAACACACACACACATTCATTTTTTCTTTGGTATGCCGAAATGTTCAGAAACCTTCAAAACGTCGAGAAATGCAAAATTTTTTATTTTCGACTCATTACTATAACAACCCTACGGAAAGTTAAAAATACGATTTTTGAAAAATTTTGACAATTTAAAAAAAAAATGTTTTTTTTAATTAGATTTTTTTATTAATTTTTCTTGAAAATTTTGAAATTTTAACTTTCGACAATGAAATTTTTTATATATTTTTATATTTTGAAGGTTTCTGAATATTTTTGCATACCTTATAAAAATGCATGTCTATGTGTGTGTATGTATGTGCGGATACAAATTTTTGTCGACGATTTCGAGAACACGGATCTCGGTTGATGAGTGATTCAAAACATATTTGATTCCTATCGATAAGGAGACGTGCTGATTAGTTTTTGGCAAAGGCAGGTCTAGCCGTTTGGAATATACGGAGCAAAAAGTGACTTAGTTTTTTAGAGAAGGCAGCGTTCTATTTAAGATTCAAAAAGCATTTTATTTGCATTGACAAAGAAAAAAACTTGGTAAATTTTTGGGAAGGCAGGTCAAAAAATTACCAAAAATACCATTTGGCGGTTATTAGACATATGCACATCAAATTATCAAATATTTTATACAAATTCAAATAATAATATTATATATATAAAAAATGTTTATATTTTTATGGGTTCTGTACTGATATTTATTCTTTATCTGCGACGTGCCGTTTACGCGTTTCGATATTTTATCTCCAAAATTGCCACGCGTGAAATAAAGTTCAAAATTTAAAAAAAAAAACGATTTAAAAAAAAATCTAGTTTTTCAAATTTCTCGAAAATCAATTTTTTTCAATGTGTAAAAAAAATTAAAATCTTTTTAGAAAATTTAAATTTTTGGTGCAGGAATTTTTAGCAATTTGTCTTGAGGCACGATGCCATTAACCACTAGTTTTGAAAGCAATCAAGTTACAAAGATATTTTAAAGACAAAATATCGAATTACGAATAAACATTACTACGGAACCCATAACAAAATGATCAAAATTTGTTATTATTAAAATCTGTTTAAAATTCAGCCAAAAAGTAATTAGCACGTATCCCCATCAATAGAAATCAAATGGTTTGTTCAACCGTTTAACATTTTTGAATCGGATGCCGTAGGCAAAACTCATATAGATCTCGGAATTCGCGAGTGAAAAGGGTTAAATCGTTTGATGCAAAATCGTCGATGAAAATTTGTATCCGCACTTACGTAGATACACGCACACACATATACACATACACATACATCCATTTTTTATAAGGTATGCCAAAATGTTCAGAAAGTTCTGAAACGTAAAGATATGCAAAATTTTTTGCGATTACTATAACTTGCCATACAGGAACATAAAAACAGATGCATGTTTTCTTTCATAGTGCTATTGAAAGGTGTCTTTATTATATTTGCTAATATTTTTTTACATAGAAATTTCGTACTAAAGTGTTAGAACCTTCGTTCAAACTGTTGTAGGTCTGCGTCTAAGACTTTTTGTGATAAGTTTACAGGCGCGTGTCTGACAAGGTGTCATTTACACAGAAATGTTTTCCCGCTTGGCTAGTTTGAATACACATCTCCTACACCACCAGCACCACCAACACCACCATCATCCTATTTATTTTCTTCTTCTCAGTATTATTCGAAATATCTTATTCGGGATTCTTAACACGTACGATATCTACTTTGTGTTTTGTAAATAAAGATCAAAACATTGTTTTTCTGCAAGGAATTTGTTCGACTAGGAAATGAGCTCTGGTTTTACATACATTGTTAACAAATGAATTCAGACAAAGTCATCAACGGATGAAATCTTACAACTTTGCTTAGAAATACGCAATACGAAATGTATGCAGCTTTTTTTTGAAGTATTAAATACTTGAAACTTTAATTATTAACTACTAGTATTATGATTTGGCAAAATATTGAACCAATTTTATTACCAAAGTTTTCACTAAATTAAAATTTCACAAGTTCTTAATATAATATTATTGCTTTAGTCAATTCAACTGAAATAACTGTTTTTAATTAAACAAAATTTTTATATTCCAAATGAAATTTATATTAAATTTAAAATAAGTGAAAAAGTATATAATATATACTTATATTATTCAGTATATAATATATCATTTTATTATAATGATATAATTATTAATGATTTTTAACTATAATTGATAGTTATTTTGTGAGTAAGTTTATGAAATTTTAAGGGTCTTATTTTTGTACACAGTAAGAATTCAAACTAATCGGAATATTTAAGCTTCCATTATCACTGTTAGTCTAAAATTTTGATCATGATATTAAATATTAACACTTTCGACTCGGGAGTCGGACTGCCAGTCGGTACGCTGCGCTCGGAATATTATAGTGCTATACTTATCTCTCAACTCGGAATTTTTTTTTGTATCGGATTTTTTCAAAGTGTGGTTATATTGCTTTTAAATATAGTTATTATGATAATAAATTAGAAAATTTTGAAAATTAAAAAAAATTGCACTCAAAACCATGCTATTCTGTTTAAAAAATCATTTCTTCACAGATCTTTATTAGAATTATGGGAATCATGAGTTATTAAATTAATTTTGTTATATATTTATTTATAAAATTAATAAATCAATCAATAAATAAATGTAATAGTAAATTAATTTTTAAAAAATGAAAAAAAATTAAATGTAAGTTTAGTTTGCGACGAGTCGTCGCCGACACGAGGCGGCATCCGAGCGCAACGGTAAAATGACTATGCCGCCGGAGTGGCGGCATCCGAGTCGAAAGGGTTAAATTTATATAAGAAATTTAAAAATTTATTCTAAACGTTTTATGATTTACTCGATATTAACTATAAATTCAAATTAATTTTTTGGAGAAAACAGAATGCAAGTTGCTACTAGTTTTTTGTAGAAATATAAAGCGAAAAAATATTAATGACTAACTTTATTTGTAATATTCAATTTTTTCATTATTAATTACTAATGTAAAAAAAACGAAAATTTACTGTTTGTGTTCTACTAAGCATGGTGTATTTGACAAGAATTTAAAACAAAACATACAAACAGCAACTTTTATATATTAGAAAAAAAATTACCATTAAAAATTTTATATATTAAAATAAGAACAAAACCTTTATAATTTCGAACCAAATTATTGTATTAAAAAATTATCTGTTAAAAATTTGTAATGATTATTTCTAAATTGTTTATAGTTACATCTTATATATAAAATTGAATCGCAAAATGTGTTGGTACCCGCAAAACTCTACAACGCCTGGACCAATTTGGCCAATTCTTTTTTTTTTATTTTTGTTGATGTCCAAGGATGGTTCTTACGGCGAGAAAAAGTCGAATAATTGCCGGAAAAATCCTAAAAACAGCATTTTCTTATTCTCATACAAACGTTTTTTTAACTAAAACGTAGAATCAATTTGGGCTTTATTGCTATTATATAAAGAAACGATTATGCGGTTTACGATAAATCTTTCTGAAGTTTAAGAAAATTTTCTAGGATGTATGTGATTATAAAGTACTGGAATGTATGTGCAATATTGTAAAAATGAATGAAAAAAATTGTAAAAAACGACATGTCATTGTTTGCATTGAAAACAAATGAAACTATCATCCGCCAAAAATTTCAATTCACTTATGAACTTAGACAATATCAGAATATGTATAATAAATTTAATAGCAGCAGAGATGTGCCAGAAATTAAAATAATATAAAATATAGTATATATATGGCAGATTGAATGATACACATAAAAACGGGATATGACAAATTATTGTACTTCAAATATGAAATTAAGTATTCATCAGCGCGGGTTCTACTTTTAATGCGATGCATGCGAAAAATACGAGCGCACGCCTTAGGGGGCGCCAACACAAGATTCAGGTATTAAATTTTCAATGTAGTTTTTTTTTTCAATATATAATTTTTTGCATCTTTTATTAATCTTTTCACAATATTTTCAAAATTCGTAAAAATTTTTCTTTATAACAACAAATGTGAAAGTAAAGATAAATACATACAATTCGGCCCCCTCGCGATATCGATTAGGAGAAGGTTAAGATGCAATTTAGGTTATCTTAAATAATATAAAATTAAATTAATTTAATCCAGCATGAAATACCACGGTAAATATTAGTGGAGCGATTTACATGACGTCGATGCTGATATGCTTCTTGAGTGGACTGTAATTTTTATAATCGGCGAAATGTGAAATCTCCACGATGATTGTTTGAGAAAATGAATGTGCTGTTATATTCACGTTAAATTTATTTAATACTATTTTACAAATACGTCCTTCTTCTATAACTGTTAATACTAGACTGAATGTTTATCTGAATTTCAGGCCCGACGGAATATATTTTATTGACTTATTTTATAACCTTATTACATGAGCCGTCGAAACCGGGCAGGATCGTTCCCTATTTACGGGATTAACAAAATTTCTCCTGACCGTTAAATGAAATGATATTTTATAATTTTACGGCGACCGTTACAACAGATGTTTTAGTTTAAAAAGTTATCCAATTAGTGTATTATTTTAAAAATTTGTAGACATGGGTACAGGACAACGTCTGTCGGGTCATATAGTAAATTTATATAAAATTATATTTATCTGTCAATTTCTACAACTTACCATTCAGAATGTGCACATAAGTGCTGGCCGGCAGCGCATTGTTGGGCACACAGCTGTAATTGCCCGTGTGTCTGGGCGTCGCCGTGGTCACCACCAGGGCGCTGTGTTTCAGCGCCAGCTCGGTGGTGACGTTGACGCCGCGGTCGCCATCGTAATTTATCATCCGATTGTTGTGGTACCAGAAGACGTAGATCGGCGGTTCCGTACTCTGGACCACGGAGCAGGCCAGTCGGAGAGTGGAGCCCAGTTTTAGGTACTTCTCGGTTGGGCCTGATATTTCTGCTCTCGCCTCTGGAAAAAGAATTGTTTTATACAGTTACTAACTTTTAATAATAAATCATTCAAATATTACAACAACTACTGGTATATGGCACTGTGCCTTAAAGCAAATTGCTGGAACTTCCCGTACCGAAAACTAAATTAAAAAAAACTTAGTAAAACTCCGAAAAATTAAATTTTTGAGAAATTTTGAAACTTTTGAAAAAAATTTACTTTATGAAAAAATTGTTTTTTTTTTATATTTTGATTTTATTTGAAAATTCACCTGCCTTTGCCAAAAACTAATCAGCACGTATTCTTATTAGTTGTTATCAAATGTTTTTTGAATTATTCAAATCAGTTGATCCGTGTTCGCAAAATCGTCGACGCAAATTCGTATCCACACACACACACATTCACGCACACACACACATACACACATTCACGCACACACACATACATCCATTTTTTCTAAGGTATGACAAAATATTCAGAAACCTCTGAAACGTAGAATATATAGAAATTTTCATATTCGATTTTTTTACGATTACTATAACTTACCCTATGGCACGTTAAAAACTCACAATAGATGAAAATTAAGATAAATATTTCAATTAAATAATATAACTAATTGTAAGTATAAGGTTGTCAAATATCTCCCTTCCGCCTTTTTGTATTATAAACCAAGAGCAAAAAAGCGGAAGGGAGATATTTGACAACCTAATACTATTTTGCTTTAAAGCAAGTTGCATAAACTTCCCGATAAGTATTACATATGAATTGAGGTTCAGCTATTTAAATAACTCTTTTACTTAAATTAAGCGTTACTCTTTTTTCGGAAAATAAAATTTTTGCTCTTACTAAAAATAATAATCAATGCTATTTCCAATTGATGTCTTTAATGAATTTTTTAACACATTTTATTTAAGTGGACCGACTAAACATATGCTCAGCATAGATTCTAATTAGTATTGTTTAAGCCCACAGCCAAATTCCAAATTTATATTTTTTATAATACAACATTTTATTTTTATATAAAAAGTCTATTTAGATAATTATTAATAAATTTTTGAAAACATTGCCCAAATACATAAACTTCAGATAGCAACATTTTTGCGAAAACTGTAGTATAAAAACAATTTTGTGTTTAAAGAAATAGTTTGGCCGATCGTTTCTCCAAGAATTTGAAATTAAAAAAAAATGAAATTTTTGAAATTTTTGTATGAAAATCGACTCTTGAAAATTTTGAATTTATCTAAAAAATCGACTTTTTTGAAAATTTTGAATTTTTTTAAATCTTTGAAATCCATTTTAGTTGGTTGATTCACAGTGTCAGAAATGTCGAGAATTTTTTTTAAACTATTTAAGTAAACTTTAAACATGATTAACAATTTAACACACATGGTAACGATCCCAAAAAAAAATGAAAGTTCAAAATATGAACTTATTTTTTAATTCTCTGTAAATTATCTGATATATTGATGTGCATATGTCATCTAATAGTATAATTGTATATTTTTAACCGACAAATGGCATTTTTTGAACATATTTTTCTGAATTTCTGAAACCGCTGGACCTGCTTTCCGAAAAAATTCATCATTTTTTCACGCAAGTGAAATGTTTCTTTAATAATCCAAACTATATTCATTTTTTGCTATTTTTGCTCCGAATCTCCGAAGCGGCTGAACCTATCTTTGCCAGAAACCAATCAGCATGTCTCCCTATCAATAGGTGTCGAATGTTATTTGAATTATTCAAATCAGTTGATCCGTGTGCCTAAAATCGTAATCAAAATTTTGTATCAGCACACGCACGTATACACACATATGTACATCAAATTTTTTTTCTAAAATATGCCAAAATGTTCAGAAACCCCCAGAAACGCAGAAAATATAATTTTCGATTGATTGCAATTACTATAATTTATTTTACAGGAAGTTAATAAAAAATATGAAAATGTCTGTAAATAAATATGAATTGGACTCTGAACTAATAAACTATGGAGGGTTTAACAACTATAAAAAAAGATAAATATCTAGGGTTTTTATCTATAATCTTGTATATTATCATGATGAATAAGTATCCGAAGTTCTTGCAGCTTTTTTGTGCGCGCAATATTAGTTGTATCAAAATAATGATATATCTCTAAATTGGAAATCACTGTTTTATTAAACAGCAAAACACTGGATGATGTTGGTGTATTCCACGATCAATGTTTAATGTTTAATGCTTCATGTTTTATTACAATTGCACATGATTCACGATTATATTACATGTCATTCGATTATATTGTTTACTTTACGGATCTTCTCCTAGTATTATATATATTATACTCCGACGTCACGGATTACTATGCAATATACATTCCATTTTAGTATTGGTTTTATTTAATCATAAAATAGAGCAATAAACTCAGAACAATAATATAGATGTACGAGGATATCATTATAAAGCTGTATATTGGGAATTTACATGATGTAAAGGGTTACATTTCTTACACATTGTAACGGTAAAATTAATCGTCGGGAGAATGTAAAATCAGCAAATAGGATTTTCTGGCAAAATAAAACTTCTACAAATCAAACTTCCTCTTATGAAGTCATCGATGTGATACTTGTTTATATGAATGGTAGTTGTATAAAATCGTGCCTTAAGGCAATTTACAACATTACCAAGTTATATAATATCCGAAAAGGCTTCTCAAGCACTCCGTCTATTGTATAAGGTATAACTCAGCTTGAAACAATTCATATCGATTACGCCTTGTATTAAAGGTATTTAAGCATTTAATTCCTTCAGTATTAACACAGAAACAAATATTACAACATCTCCCTCAATAGACGATTATATCGTATCAGATATTTGCATGAATTCGAAATTGTAGAAACCGATAACGAAAACGAACATGGGGAGTAAATATTAGTTCAAAAATCACTTTTTAACTTTGTAGAAAAATTGATTTGATTTTTAGTGTGTCTGACAAACTACTAAAAATTTGATAAGAAAAAAAGTTTCTATAACATTTCAAAAAAAAAAAAAAAAATGATAGTAAATTGAAAAATATATTTTTAAACTCATAAATAGTCTTGTTAATATATTTTTTATTTCTATTGTGCACCAAATTAATCAAACTCAATAAATCTTTTTAAAAATGTCTAAATCACGAATTCTATTATTGCAATGTACTTCTTGTAAAACAAACTTGGTATTTAAATATTAGATAGTTTATGCTTATTAAAACTCGATGAATAGTTACGTGATTCAATTATTTGCAAATTAAGAGTTGAGGTTTTTAATAATATTATATGATATATGTTTAAGATGATTAAGATGATCATTTTTCTACTATCACCACCGCACATTTAATCTAAATTAATTAAATTTTCTTGAAAAATGCTTGTTAAAAAAATAACTTTCCAGAATCTATAATGATAAAATAGAATATTATGATATTCGAAAAAAATTAAATTGATTAAATATTAATAAATAATGTATTATTTCTTTTGTTAAAGGTAACTCTTCAATTGGACAATTCATTGCCTGGCCTTACATCTGCTGCCAATGTAAGTACAAATTTTAATTTACATTCTAAAAATTCCCAAATATCTATTTTTTCTATAAATATTGCATGCTACTTAGTACTAAAAATCAAAAAAATTATTACGTCATATTTGTGATGGAATTTATATCTGTAGTAGGGTGCAAAATGTCTTAAAAAAACTTATATTGAATATTGTTCCTGGTGATTTTCTTCTTTTAGATAACTTACAACGTTTTTATATAATTTGTATCATTTTACAATAACTTAGATGTTTTTAGATGTTTTTCAATATTTTCAGGCGATTTTCAATATTTTCAAAATCTTCATACGATTACTAATATTTTTGGTCTATTAACAAAGTTTTTATACAAATTTCAATATTTCCAGACGATCGAAAATAATAGTCAGAAGTTTGTAAATTATTCAGACGATTTGCTCAAGTTTTAGACTTTTTGAACAGGGATAAAACAATTTGCATCATATTTAGGTGATTTAAAATATATCAAGATGGTTTGCAACTTTTTCAGATAAGTTAAAAATATTTTTAGACGATTTTCAATATTTTCAGAAGGTTAACAACATTTTGGGACTGTTCATAACATTTTCAGACTAATTGTAATATTTTCAGGCAATTTGCATTATTTTCATATATTTTGCTTTTTTTAGAAGATTGAGATGATTTGTAACATTTTTAATGTGTTGTAATATTTTCACACGATTTCTAATAATTTTAACCAACTACAACATATGCTAATAATTTGTGACTTTTTCAGGCAACTTGCACCATTATTGGTCTATTCAGTCAAATTTCAAACGATTCTCAATATTTTCAGACAATGTATGATTTTTTGGACTCTTACAACATTTTCACACAACTTGCTTAATTTTCAGATAATTTAGAAGATTATTAGACGTCTTTCAACATTTTCAATTGTATATAAAAATCAATTTTCAAATATGTTCTGCAATAATAAACTAAAAATTTTAATATTTTTATACTATTGAAAGCAATTTTCAGATTTGTTTTCAATTTGCAGAAGTTTTAGATAATTTGAAAATTAGGTAATTGATTTTAGACATTTGCAACATTTTTAGGTGATTTATAATATATCAAGACGAATTGCAACTTTATCAGATAGGTAATAAACATTTTCAAACTATTTTCAGACTGTTAACAACATTTTCATACGATTTTCAACATTTTCAAAAAAAGTACGAATCATTTATGTTTTTTGTATTTATTTTCGTAACAAAAGGCTATAAAATCAAAAAGCAAGTTTAGCTACTTATTATCAAAAGATTACATCACTTATTAAAAGATTAATTGTTTACCTAATTGATTAATAACAATTTCATTATAGGCGTAATGTGTAATAAAAAATACCAGAAAATTACACTCATACTCTAATTACATATGTATTTATTTTGCAATAAATATGTCCGTGAAGTAAGAATGCAATATTTTTTCCTATTTGTTAAAAAAAAAGACAAATATGATTTTTTGTACCTTATTTTCAATTGATCTTTTTTTCTAATAAATTTACGTAACCAATTTTATACAAAATCAGTCAGAAAAGATAAACATTTTTCAAGGAGTGTTCTAATGAAAAATATATACGGTTTTTCGTCATTTTTAATGCGAATTCATTAAGCATTTATTCTTTTCATATTTATAAAAATTTGGAAAATTTATAGTTACATAATTCTCGATTTTGTTACCTACAAACTTTCAAAATTTTCACCTAAGCACAGATAAACTTTATAAATGATTACTTTTCTACAAAATTTTCGTAACAAATATTATACATCAAGAAGTAAAAGTTGTTTTTGAAGTGTTTTTAATAAATATAAACACACCTCGTATAGACAAATTTTTTGAAGTTTCCTAATGCACAATATTGAACATTGATTTTTTTCATAATTATTTAAATAAAGTACTAACAATAAAATATTTTTAAATATTTTTACTCACCCACAACATTGAGATGTATAAATATACTCGTTGGAGGATGCGTCGATACTTGGCACTCGTAAATTCCAGCATCTCTTGCTTGAACGAATTTTATTTGCAGTGTCCAATCCTAAAAAAATTCAATTATCATTGATAAATACCATAAAAAAATTATAAAAAATAATTGATGAAAATTAGAGAACTCCGACATATAATTTGCAAGTCCTTCATATTGCTAGGTGCACCATGAAATAAAATATTAAGAAACATAATTTCTACATTAGATTACAAACTATAACTATAAATCTCATATAAGACTATTACTAGAGTACTATTTCAAACAAACAGAATTATTTTTCTGTTCTACATTTTTTTTATAATTTTTTATAATGCTTTGGCAACATCCACATTGTTAGGGTTCTCTGTAAATAACGTTATAGCAAAAATTTTTAATTTAATACTTCAAATATTCTGTCACACACGTTTTGTTAATGGCAGTAAGTCTAAAAGAACATTTGAATGTAAAAGGATTTTTTCATAATCATTTTAAATCGGATTTACCGCCAACGGCACAGATGCGTTTGTACTCGTATTTTGTATTCATAGTTTGCATTCGCATTTATTCAATTATAGAGATATGAAATTTACATATGTCTACTTGTATATATGTGTACATATACTAAATTAAATTTGCAATTTAATAAAAGTTCAAATTTTAAATTTTTACTATTTTTTGCCTTATTACTGCTCACACAACAGATTTTTCTTGAATTCTAAGTAGTTACATAGAATAAATTATAGAAAATTTTTGCGTAAGATTTGTGTAGGATTTTTATTTCAAGCACAAATAGTTTTGTAAAATTTGCTTGTTAATTATTGAAATCTTATAAAAATTCTATTCTATAAAAATATTTCAAATTTCATTTTGAAAAGTATAGTTAAATTTTGTTCAATCATTCAGAGCTCAAACCGAGTTTTAGTGCAGGGAACTAAATTAGAAGATACAATTTAGTTTTACAGAATTAGGTTAAAAGTTACTTAGAGTAAAAATAATTTTTTGAGATTATGTATTTATTATTTACCTCAGAATGTTGTAGATGTATTGCTGAAAATCTTTCGTCACTTGAATAAGTCGTCAAACCCACCGTGAGCAAATGATAATCTTTACGTCTTATCCAGGATACCTGAAAATAGTGAAAACATGTGTTTTATTAATTTAATTAATATTACCTAATCAAAACATTCATTACATTTTACAAGTTATATGTGTTCAAATATAAACATCATTAAATATAATCGATATTCCAATAGAAAATTAATATTATACATTCAATGCTATATATCAATTTAATGAGCAAAAACATGAATATACTAAAAACATTTTTAGTAAAACATAATGTAAACTTATGAAATAATTGTATAGATTAAATTCATTCAATAAAAAAAATATTTATAATATAAAATAAAGCATAAAATTTACAAATATTGTTGAACCAATATTTTTATTTTTGCAGATTTTTTCAAGTAAGAGTTGGCTAATTCAAAAATGCCTACAATAAAATTGAATAAGAATTATTTATAAAAATGAGTATGATTTTCAGTTTTATAAATATTATTAAAATGATAATGTTTCAAAAATTTAGTATTAAAATTAGGTTGTCAAATATCTCCCTTCCGCTTTTTTGCTCTTGGTTTATAATACAAAAAGGCGGAAGGGAGATATTTGACAACCTTTGAAATTCATGTTCCTTATTTATGGGGTAAATGATTTATTTTAGTTACATATTTATCAATATTCAACTTTTTAGTAAAGACTAAATATATTGGCTTAGTCACGACTAAATGTTCCAATATTTACAGATAAGTTTGTTAAACAAAAAATCTTGGTTTATTTTAAAAATTATTTCAAATAGTTGATAATGGTGGTATTATATAGTAAGCTTCTAAATGGTAAAATGTTACTTAAGAACTAATTTGTTTACTATTTTAATTAATCATAAAAATTTATTTAATATATGGTAAATCCGGTACTTAGAAACGGGTTTTCATATTTTTAGAATATAGAATAAAAAAAATTCTTTATTCTATTGGATTATACTCTAATACAGAGAAACGTCAAAAAATATGTAGATGTTTAGCAAAAATTGACAATTTGTTTATCAAGTACCTTTTTTATAAGGTTTTTTTGGTTTATTATAAAAAATTAAGTAGGTAACTGAAATACTAATTGTTTTGATTAAAGTTATATTTTATTTCAATGTTCTAGTAAAAAAGTAGCTGAATATCTATATATTTACAAGAAAAAAATGAGCAAGCTTTTTCAATAATGTGATTTAAAAAGTTTTTAGACCATTTTATATATAAGTCGATAATTGTATTATTTAATTTTTGGTAAAAGCTGGTCTAGACTACTTCAAAATTTCGTAATTCTCAATATTTTAAATAATTTAATTTTTTGGTAATTAACTGATTTACATTATCGCAACATAGAGTTGATTAACAAATAAAAATTAAATCCCTGTTATACGATAAATATTCAAAATATTTTAAAAACTTTTATAAAGTTTCAATAAAGTGTTTTTATAATCCACTATCTGAAAACTACTTTCTCTACTTTTTTATGTTTAAAAAAATTTACCAATAGGTTTTCTTAAAAATACGATTTGGAAAATACTGGGCGTCCTTAAAAGATATAGGAATTGTTGATAAAGATCATGTAAAGCAAATTTACAAATATATTATTTAAAATTATTTAATTTTTTTAATAAACTCTGATTATTTTACATAATTTGATGCAATAATTATCACATCATACGTATTTTTATACTACTTTAAAGATATTTTAATATGCCAAATTCATGCAGAGGCGAAATCTCATTTTTTTACTCATTTTTTTAAAATAAAGTTCTAGTTAGAGCTTTCAGTAAATTTTAAGAAACATTATGATAGTAATAATTATTGTCATGGAAACTGAAGATTAATATAACATTTGACAAATTAATCTCATGAAGATAATGTAGTTAAAGTGAAACATACGTGTAGAAATATATGGAAAAAAGTAGTACATAAAACAAATAAAACATTATAATTATAAATTAAGATTTATATACGAGATTTCTAGCTCTATCTCAATGTGATACATTTATTATTACATTTTATGTATTACTAATAAATAAAAATTAAACAAGTAAGTAATAAGTTTCTAGATAAATCTATCAACTATTGTTATTTTTCAAATTCCATCAATATTATTGGATCCTCAATAATTTTCTTTTCTAACGATTCTAAATCGATGTACAAATAAAACATTAGTTTTCAATTTCAATTCAAATCATCGTCTAACAAAAATAAACGATTGCTAATACTTGAAATATCTCTTGGTTCATTATTTATTCAGTACAAATGTTTCGTGCTCATTTTATATATGAACGAAAGACGAATCAATATTTTATGTGATATATATATATATATATATATATATATATATATATATATATTGTCACGATGTTTGTCTTGAATGCACACCAAAACTACTGAACCGATTTTAAATCTGATTTGCTCAAACAATATGTACTAAAAATCTCAATGTATAGTCTAAATATTATTAGTAATTCTAACTAATTCTAACAGTCATAAAGTTATATAAAAATACAGTGAAATGGCAGTTATCAATTTCAGATATTTCTGGCCTATAATAAAAAATCATAGATTTATGATTCATTTCTTTACATTTGGACACAACTTAGCCCTAAAATAAAAATATTACAAATCTCAACTAAACCCAAAAATTTCTATAATGTAGTGTAATGTTATATAACATCAATTATATAATGTTTATTACTATTACAATTACTTTCTCTAGTTCCATAATAACATATTTTCTCTCAATAAAATGAGAATTTTCTCATTTATTTTTACGATGAACCCAAGTGTAGTAGCTATTCAATAGCCACATGTCTTTTTTATAGCTAACTTTTAAAAATATACTCTCTCAAGTGTCTGGTGATAAAACTATCATCATATTACTCTAGATCGTAATTTTTTTTATTATAACTATATTAAAGAATGATTTGTTCGTAAAGTTTAAGGAAAATGGGTGGTCTTAGTTTTTATCTGGAAAATTGTAATAAAGTGAAATGAAGTGCACGTTTTGTAAAGAATTTAATATTAGCATTAATAGTACGAGTGCTTCATATAAGGAATATGATTATTACTGACGAAATACCAGATCAAGGTTTTATGCAGTGTTTTCTTTGTGAAAATGTATATATGAAACTTATATTTTGCATTTGTTGAATAATGCAGCTATTATTTGTTAAATACTTCTGAAATGAAAAATATTTTATTTTTAACTTCCCGTAGGATAAGTCTATAACTTATTTTTATATATCTTTACTTTTCAGAGGTTTCTGAATATTTTGGCATGCCTTAAAAAAATGGATGTATGTGTGTGTGTGCTGATAAAATAATTAAAAAAACATTCGATTCGTATTGATAAGGAGACATGTTGATTAGTTTTTGGCAAAGGCAGGTCTAGCCGTTTTGAGAGACCGAAGGGTTCGATTTGAATAATTCAAAAAACATTTTATTTATATTGACTAAACGAAGAACTGTTAAAAATTTTGGAAAGGCAGGTTCAGCGGTTGTGGACTCTCAATGAAAATAATTTAAAAAAAAAAGCCATTTTGTGGCGAAAAATGATCATTGGACATACGCACATCATATTATCAGATACTTTATATAGATTTTAATGTGTACACATTTTGTGTAATTTTTTTTAGGGTCCCGTACCGAAATTTTTAATTTCAAAATTCACGTATATGGTTTATACAAATGTCCACGAAATTTTCGATAGTATGAAATAACCAATTTTTTGTGATTGAAAAAATGTTTTTGCAAAAGGCAATTTAGCCGTTTTGGAGGTATGGAGCGCAAAGGGTGTAAAAACGGTTATGAAGTTTTTGAGGTTTTGATTTAAAAAACATATTGCTTAAGTAGACGGTGTGCAAGTTGTTAGTAGAATACGCTTGTCCGCCCAATTCAAAAAGCACTTATTAGTTTGCAGTATGTTTTTCTATTGTATTTGAAATTATTCAAAACAATTCATGATTATTTTAATTTCTCGAATGCGGTTCGGGAAGTTGCAGCAATTTGCCTTAAGGAACGATGCCATGCACCCCACTAGTTTGATATTGATTTTGATATTGACTTGTTGTGTTAGAATTAGTTTGGTTTTCACAATATTGGCTCGAAGTAAAATTTAACTAACTCTATATTTTGGAACATTTAACTATGACTCTTTGGATGTATCAATTAGTGTTCATAAAGATTTAAAAATAAAATCGATATCCAAAAATCATTTACCAAGTCAAACCTTTCCCCATTACCCTGCATCTATAATTAATTTACAAGTTCATTTAATCCAGCTGAAGTCTTGCAGTTAATATAAACAAAATGCAAACTCTCACAATTGCAACATTGCAGTCGGTATCTATTCAAGCTATCAATTTGGTAAATAGTTTCCATTACAGCATCACAAAAGATGTAAATTGCTTGAGCCAGTTTATGGCTGGAATGCATTGCCAGCGCGAAACCCTTTCCGGGTTCCGGGAGATTCCGGGGGATTCCTGGTTCCGGGGGATTCCGGGTTGCGTTTCGGTCGCTAGATTTATTATTCGCTCGGGCGCATTGCACAAAACATGCGCATCCATTGCTGCGGTATATTGGATAAATATACCGCCTTGGGGTGGTTAAATTAGTGGTATATTGACTTGAGATAAACTATAATTATACACTAAATTAGTGGTACTAGGTATCGTGTCTTAAGGCAAATTGCTGGTACTTTTCGTACCGAAATTAAATATTTGAGGAAAAAATTTAGTAATTAAAAAATATTTATCAATGAATAATAACAATTGTTTTGCGCATTTTCAAAGGAATAATTATAATCACTATATTTTTTTGTGGTTATAATAAATCCATATTATAATATAAGAATGTATACATTGATAAGAGATGCTGAATGAATCCATCTGAGGATAAATTTCTTACGATTAGAATAACGTTTTTGATACCCATTTGATATACAGTTGCAAACTGAATTGTAAATTTAAAGTTCATATTTGAAGTATAATAATGTGTTTATTTTTAAAATGTATAAATTTTTAATAAATGTATAATTACTATATATTTTATTGTTCATATTGTGGGAGTCAAAGAGGCCATAAGTTTGGAGAAAAGCAAATATTCATGTCATGACATTTTGTATAGTTTTGATAATGATATTTTTCAATCTTTTTTTTTTAAATATATAAAATTGGAGAAAAACAAATATTCATGTCATTCATAGAAATATCTTTATATTTCTATAATATAACACATAGTGACAATCTTGACGCAGAAAACACTTAAGAATGATTACATTAACAAGAGATCCAAATGAATCTATCTGATGATATATTCCTTACGATTGCAATAATGCTTATGAAACATATACATTTTTAACCTGAATTGTAAATTTGAAATTTTTATTTAAAATATATAACTTTGTATATTTTAGAAAATTTCAAAAGCAAAAATTCTGAAAATTTTGAAATTTGTTCTAACCGTATGAGTGGACTTCAAAAATTAAACATCTTTGTATGAAACCCAGAAAAATTGTATTAAAATTAGTACTCATTTATAAAATCTCTATAAAATATCTGATAATTTGATGTGCATATGTCTATTAATCATTTTTGACCACCAAATATTTTTTTTACATTTTTCTCTGTATCTCCAAAACTGCAGAACCTGCCTTCCAAAATTGTTTATCAAGTCTTCATTGCGTCAATACAAATAAAATGTTCTTTGAATCATTCAAATCGGATGCTTAGTTCTCTGAAAAACTGCCATTTTATGCACATTTAGCTCAGTATCTCCAAAACGGCTAGACCTGCCTTTACCAAAAACTAAACACCTCTTCTCCCAATCATTACGAATTGAATGCTTTTTGAATATTTCAAATATAATGCTTAGTACTCTCAAAAACTGTCATTTTTTGCTTATTTAGCGCACAGTATCTCCAAAATGGCTGGTCCTGCCTTTGCAAAAACTAATCAGTTCGTCTCCTTATTAATAGCAATCGAATGTTTTTGGATCATTCAAATCGCTTAATCCGTATTCTCGAAATCGTCGACAAAAAATTGTATCCGCACATACATACACACACACGCACAAAACTCACACACATACATACATTTTATTTAAAGTATGTCAAAATAAAGAAACAAAAAACAGAAGATTTTAAAAGCATAAGGATATATAAAAAATTTAATTTTCGATTTTTTGCGATTACTATAACTTACCCTGCAGAAAGTTGATAATTTTATTTTATTTAAATTTAAATAAATCCCACCGGTGCCACCAAATGTTAAAAAACTTCAGTTGCTTTACGGTTTCAGATTTAGGAATTTATATAAGAATTGAACACATATTTTGGCATTAACTTGAATTAACTTTTACTACAAAAAATTTACATAAAATCTTTAGAAACACGTCGACGTCCACAGAAAAACTGATTTCTTCTAACACGTGATTTACAAGAGTACATTTAGTCAACTGTCGTATTATCTATTTTATTAATTATTATCTAACTAAAAATGCTTATTTGTAATGGAAAAATCTTTGAAAAAGGTTTTGCCGAGGTGGGTGATTTATCGAAATCTGCAAATGATAGTAAATTTTGTGACTTTAAACTGAACTTGATCTCAACACGTACAATCTTTCTGACTTCAGAACTTGTTTGATGTCCAACGTACTATTAAAATATCTTGAAATATTTCTGATTAGGTGTGAATTTTCTTACGTCAGTATTTACCAGAATTTCATTGATATCCAAGAACTAATAAAATATTTATTAAATTATAGCAGTTGTGCACAACAATATATTTAAACGAAACCTAATCGAGCCGAGTTTGAATAAAGCAAACCGACAACCTCATATAATTCTTATAGATATTTAGATTTCTTAATATATTTATTTAGATAGATTTCTTATTATATTTCTAAGATTTCCATATATAAAATAAAAATTAATTTCATTTACATACATACATACATACATACTTGAAATAATTTATCTGAAATTTATAAAGTCTACTACCAAGTGGAGAAAAACGATTTACAACTCGAAATTCTCGCTGAGCAATAATATCGATATTGGTTCACTGATGCACGTACCAAATAATATCGAATCGATTGTACGAGATACAAAATGTATGTATTTTTTGTTCATCGATATTGCACAAAAAAATTACAGATGAATATTGAAAAATATATAGACGATATTACATACGTAGTTTATATTTGGGAACAATCCATATTTCTAATAATGTAATTCGTATGTACATAAAGAATGACTTCAGAATACCTCACTAAATATATTATAATTACCTATTATCACAAATCCAATATTTAGTCTTCTAAAGACATTATAATATCATATCATGAGGTCAAAAATAATTATTAAGTACTAGGAAAACGCAGAGATTTTCATTATAAATACGATATCTGGTATTTTGCTCATTAAAATCGCTCGTAGTTTAGTATAAATAAATAATAACCAATATAATTATGGTTTACGAGTTTTCTGGTTATTCAACTTTAAATATTAATCTGGAACGAATATCGATCTAGGAAACTATTGAAATGAGTTCTTTTGAATAAGAAAAGCTTCGGAATTCTTTATGGAGAAGCCAGTAAAAGTTTTATTATTGGTGAGATGATGTATATATATATGCAATATAATACTCATTTATCAACAGTAACGTAAAATATTTCGTTAACTATGTTTGATGTGAAGTTTTTTTTACTGAAGCGTTTCGAGCTTGGTTCATCGTATTTTTTACATTTAAATTTCACTCTTTTAATTAAAACGGTATCTTGTAATTGACACATCTCCTGTTAAGTTTATTGTCAGATCCATCAAAGGGAACGTCAGAGGAATCACGTCGGAGCAAATAATATCTTGATTAAAATTCTTTCCTTCTTTTTTCTGTGAAACACGTCTACTTCAACTTTTTTTGCTTTCACGATTTCGTATAGAATTCTACAAATACAAAGTTCGATTTATTTCCGCCAAAGAAGTAAATAAATTTTGTGAATTCATATTATATATTTAAATGAAAAAAAAAATGCACTGAGCACAATATTGTGTTAATGTTTATTTTGCTCTCCAAAAATCACTTTAAAAAATAGCTAAAAGATAAAATATATGTAATTTTTTTTTATATTCAGTAATACAATTTGAATTTTCATTTATAATAATTTTTGCAATAAATTTTCGTATCATGATAATACATTTCCAGAATTAGATTTGATTATCAAATGCAATTTTTAGATGAAATTCTTCCTTATGTAACGTAAAAAATATAAAAATGTTTTAAATTTTATCTGAACAAAACTAATAGTATTTATAAAAAACGCAAAAAAATTAAGTGAAATATAGCATGTTATGATAACACTCTCATAAATAAATAATGGAAATACAATCAGACTTAGCAATAATTTACATATTTTGATATCTCGTGTTCTCTATTATAAATAGAAATACTCTATTATACAAAGATTAGAAATTATTTAGGCAGATATACCTACTTTGTATACGTTAAATTTATTATCTATTTATTTATTCGTATTAAATACAAAAAATATGATTATTTATTAATTTATTCAACAATTATTTTATAATCTGTATCGTATTATTGCCTAAGTCGTACTTTCTATGGAAAGAATGTGGTAGTATTTATTGCAAATAAATTAAAGGAAAACTTTAAGAATTTGAGAAGATTTAAGAAACTCTTTAAAAAAATTTTAATCTATAAATGATTAACAATTACTGTTTTTTATTATTTTTAGGTATATTCACGTTTTTTTTCATAAATGTGCTTTATATATTATTAAGGCGCCTAGTCGCCTTAGTCGTACCCCCTTTTAAGAAACAATGTAGTATTTGGTCTTATATTTAGATATCATTTGTCAAGTCGAATATAATTATTAAAATATAATAACATAAATAATGTAATCTTACAAGTGATGAATGCACTTAACTAAAACACTAGTTACTTGTAGTGGTAATCTATTAATGTTAATAATTTGAATGTAATGTAATTGTAAAATGTAATGCATCGAATTACTTTTCATTGAAAAAAACAGTTTTGTCAAATTTAATCAAAACCGGCGATTTTATATATTTATTTTTATATATTATATGCAAATTTTATAAAGATATGGTGTTCAACACGGGCTTTCCGAAGTTGTAGAAAGAACAAAAATTTTACACTGCAAAATTTATTTAACCCTAAAAAATTTATGTACAACATCAAGACCCGCGTGCAAAAAAATCAGGAAGTATAAACAAAATTTAAAAAGCTGCTTATATCTAAAACGAATAAGTTAAGGATTCAATTCTTGGATAAAATATGTATGCTATGTTATAGGTCTATATGTGTATGAATAGGTAGTATCTAACTGTCAAGAAAGTATATGGTGTAAAACCTAACTTACAAAGTGCACAAACGTCAAATAACAATTGTATCGTAAGTGCACCTTTTTTGATAACACATACGTGAAGTTAGGTTTCATGTGCAAACGCCTGATAGCACTGCAAATACATAACATTTTAACAGTTAGTTACGACCAAACCATACTAAGATATACATACTTAATTTATCCGAGAATTGACCCCTACAGGCTCGGGTCCAAATTTATTTTTGTACTTACCATTCCTTCTCCTATGTGATGCACCGCACAAGGTACCAGGGCTGTAGAACCTATTTGCGATGTGACCATCGTACTGTTTTCCGTCCCAAAATACATTGGTGGAATATCGGACATCGTCTCGAAAGACGCCTCCAATTCGTTTCCATTTAAGATAGGTGGAGGCTCGGCTACTGTCGCTAGCCCTGGAAAAAAAACAAAATTCAGAGTTAATAAGAATAAACTTTCTATCTTAGATTTGAAAAAATATTCACAAATGAAATTCATTCTACCGCGTCGACTATTAGTGTCATAGACCTTAAACTTCAAGGATTAATTCTGCTAGTCCTCATATGTTTTTCATTTTATAAAGTGTCAAAAGTTAAAAGGGAATTGTGACGTTACTTAGTGAATGAGATTTGCCGACAATCGTGGAACACTTCCGATTGATTAAATGTCACAAGTCACGTGCTTAACCTAAAAGATTCTTTGCTATGTTTGCATAAATAATAGTGAATATTACATATTATATTATATAATCATCACTTCCCGTCGGGTATGTTATTGTAATGCACCGAAAATCGAGAATAAAACTGTTTGCATATCTTCACGTTTTGAAGGTTACTGAACATTTTGGCATACCTCATAAAAAATGGATGTATGTGTGCGTGTGTGTTTTGTATGTCCGTATTTGTTCGTCCACGTTTTGGGCGCACTGATCAACCATTAAAATCGGTTCAAAAAACATTAAATACCTATTGATATGGAGATGTGCTGATTAGTTTTTGGCAAATGCAGGTCTAGCCGTTACGGAGATACGGAGCAGAATTCAGAAAATGGAAATCGAGTTTTTGAGAAAACGGAACGGAGAATCCGATTTGAAGGATCCAAAAGGTTTTTGGTAAGGACAGAGCCAAACGTTTTGGAGATACGGAGCTAAATGTTCAAAAAATGCAAATGCAAAAAATGACAGTTTTTGAGAGAACAAAGCATCTGATTTGTATGATTCAGAAAACTTTTTGCTTGTTTTGACTATTCGATTGCTTTTGGTGGCTGTGTGTGATTGTTTTGACTATTCGATTTCATAGCTCCCAAGGTCTCAAATGCTTCCCAATTAATAAACATAAATTCTGTAAAAGTTTTAGCTCTTAATAATATATACATTAAGATAGTCCGCAATTCAATTAAAAGTTTTGCATATTTATTATTAATATATGTTATTTAGTAAATTCTTGCGCCATCTAAAATTAACCCTACGGCAAGTTAAGAAAGTTTTTCAAAACCAGACAAGTTATTATTTTTGTTAACACCAATTAATTAAATTGTATCGTTTTTTACTATTTTAAATTTAATTTAATTTAAGATTTCTTCAATGAGCTTCGTAATAGCTCATCTAAGTTTTTTTCATACTCAAGAACAACTCTGATTAATTTATGTCTTGATTTGTGTCTTGATTTTATGAAACTTGATATTACGTCTTCGTTTAGAGCATCTTCAAAAGTTGAGGTCTTGCTTATCTATCAATTTGCAGAAATTATTAAAAAGTTTAGAAGCTTTTCTGAAAAAAGAGCAGTATCAGAGACAAAGAAAAATATTTCACAGCTAAGTAATACTCAGTTATAGCCAAAAATTACTGTATTTGTAAGATATCACATATAATTAGTAACAATAGATATTTATAATATGAAGAGGATGGTACCACTGTATTTCTTGAAGTCAAAATTAATATATTCAGAAATGTCATAAAAATGGTTGGCTTTTAGTAAATTAATCAAAACGTTGTGGAATTTATGATTGCTTAGTTGACGTATTTGTAAAGGTAATAAATTGAACAATTGAATACCAAAACCATCAATTGCATTAAAAGTTCTATTAAGCTTAAAAGTCGATGTTTTGATAGTTCTATTTCTTGTGAAATAGTGGGAATCAGACATGGAAGATAAATTAAAGTGCTGGGGATTATTTTTTATAAAAAGAAGTGTAATAAGTAGGAATATGTTAGGAACGATAAGAATGTTATACTTCTGAAAAATATTTCTACAACTTGTCATCGAGTTAATAGCGAACATAACAATTCATGTTAAAGTAATAAAAAGAGTAGGTAAAAAGTCTTACACACAATTTTTATAATTCAAAAATAAGAAAAAAATCATTGATCAACTATATTCAGATATTGAAAAGTTTGCCTTCAGGGCACTCACTTTCAAAATAAATCATGAATCAGAATACAAATCATTCTGAAAACCTTTCTCAGCTTGTGATCAGTGTCAATCAGGAGCAGACTGATTCTATTTGCATTCCAAACTTCGTCTTTACCCAGGATAGTATTTTCATGCAACTTTAGTAATCTAATAAACTTTAAACAGAACGTCGTCGTCTAGTGGTAGTGCGATCCTTAGTGATCCTTGTTTACCACACAGTACACCTATAGTAATATTGTCCTTGTATTATATTCCTACGAACACTGTAGGTAGGTACTGTCTGATTCCATATTCAAATCACGCATGTCATATCTATCAGGACTGCAATTAGCCATCTAGGGGGTACCAGAATTCGTAATCAAACAAACCTATTCGCAAACACGACTATGCGCTCAGTCATGTGTATCATCCAGGCCTGTCATAAAATAGATGGCGATCAGGATTTCCAATTTGGAGGATATCGATTGATTCTAATCAATATCGACTTATGGGAGCTAATCATAAATAAACCTTACATTACATGGATTGCTAGTCGAGCGTAAAATTAGTGTCAAAAGATAGTAGGGAACTGTGATATCACTTATTGAACGAGCGTTGCCGACAACCGTGGACACTCCCTAATGATAGAACATCACATGCGATTTTAACAGGTGGAATAGATTTTATGTACATTAAATTTACACGTGCAGTGTTATTAATATCAAATTTCTAACAAAATTATCAGTCCACACAATTACCATTTCATTATGAAAAGAAAACTATCACAAATAATATTTGAAACTAGTGGTGTATGGCATCGTGACTTAAGGTAAATTGCTGGGACTTCCCATGCCTTGATACAATATTCGAGGCATCTCAAATGGATTGTTATAAATACTGTAACTTTCATTATTCTTATTAGGTCAAAAACAAAATATAAGAGCTTATGTATTGAAAAAACATTTGTTGTAAATTATATATATGTGTATATATATATATATATATATATATATATATATATGTATATGTATATATTAGAGCGGTCCTCAATATGGACATTCAAAATTCTTAGCTCTCAAGAGCTCGAATGCTTCCAAATTAATGAAAAAAAAATTTCTGAAAGTTTTAGCTCTTAATATTAACATTTAGATAGTCCGCAATTCAATTAGAGGTTTCGTATATTTATTATTAACATATGCAATTGAGTAAATTTTTCCACCGTCTGTGATAGCAGACTTGTAATTCTGATAATTGAGCAGATAATTTGAGACATTCCCAAATAACTATTTTACTGAAAAGTAATTTTGATGCCTTGATGATTAAATATTTCGTTAATCAGTCCACATGGATTTAATTAGAGGATATAAATATGGTTTTGTCATAATATTTGCTATCACAGATGGCGCAATAATTTACTAGATAACTATATATTAATAATAAATATACAAAACTTTTAATTGAATTGCGGATTATCTAAATGTTAAAATTAAGAGGTAAAACCTTTACAGAATTTTTTTTATTAATTGGGAAGCATTTGAGTCCTTGGGAGCCAAGAAATTCGAAAATATCCATATCATCCATATAAATATCATTTTTTTTAAAAAAACCTAATATCTGAAAAAATCTATAAAATTCAAAATAAGAAAAAACATTGATCTGTTTGAATTAATATGAATTTTTTAAAATCGTTTTTTCCAAAAATCTTAGAACATAATTATAAAAAAAAATCATCGCACATTTAAATGGTACGGGAATTACCATTATGTTAATAACAAGTAAAAATATAATAATTTTAACAAAACTAATTTAAAGTAGGGGGCAAAAGATGTATAAAAAACCCATTGCCTTAAATCTTACCACTTCATTACCACAAGGTAAACAAAATTTTGTCGTCAAAAATCGAAAATGGAAATTTTTGGTCCAAAATAATCAATATTATCGGATAATATATCAATATTATCGGAATCTTACGGAAAATTTCATAATTTTCATAAAAGGCATTTTTTGAATTTGTTATATACTCATAATTTTCAAATGTTTGAATTTATCATAAAAATCAAAATTCTCAAAAAAATCTAATATTTTTTTGTGAGTTTTTAAAAATTTTAAATTACGGTACAAGAAGTTACAGCATTCGCTAGTGTATAATTTTTGTAATTCTCCAATTTCCAATAGAAATAAAAATTTTGATTCTCTGATTACTAACAAAAACCCAATTAAATTAATTCCTCACAACCAATTCCCCAAATACAGATATTACGTGTGTCTATGATGAATATGCAAATTTGTTCATTCGTGGAATCAAAACGCTTGTAATATTGTTTGTATTATGGGATGCATTTACCATTTACCATTTGCCATTCACCATCATATACCGATGTATATATGGTATTTAGAGCCTCTGTATATGGTTTCATCTATATGTAAATTCGCGGTATTGGAGTATTTCATTAGAATCGCGAATAAGGGCTACATCATATAAACGCTCAACTATGCTAAATAGTGAGTTATGTTCGCTATTTGTTGAAATAATTTGAACTATGATAATATAAGGACAGATAATTATGAATAGAATTTGATCTCTGAAACCGCTGGACCTGCCTTCCTTCTTGTACCAAGTTATATTTTATTAATTTCCCGTAGGGAAAGTTATAGTAATAGCAAAATAAATCGAAAATGAAAATTTTTGTATATCTTTACGTTTTAAAGGTTTCTGAACATTTTGACATACTTTAAATAAATGGATGTATGAGTGTGTATCTGTGTATGTGTGTGTGTGCGGAAACAAATTTTTGTCGACGATTTGGGCAACACCTATCAACCGATTTAAATAATTCAAAAAACATTCGATTTGTATTGATAAGGAGACGTGCTGATTAGTTTTTGGCAAAGGCAGGTCTAGCCGTTCTGAAGATATGGGACAAAAAGTGCCGAAAACGGTAATTTAGTTTTTAAGAGAACGGAGCGTCCGATTTTAATAATTCAAAAAACACTTTCTTTATATTGACGAAAAGGGGTGTTCAAATTTTTTGAAAGGCATGTCTAGCGATTATGTAGTTACAATAAAAAAAATTTAAAAATGCCTTTTGGCCGAGCAAAATGATCATTAGACATATGCACATCAAATTATCAAATACTTTATAAAGATTTTAATAATGTGCAACCATTTTGTGTTTTTTTTTTTGGGTTCCGTACTAAGTTTTTTTTTTAATATACGTATATGAATCAAACTAATGTAACCGATTTGTTTGATTGAAAATTCATTCGGTTTGTACTTGATCGCGAGGCGTTTTTGCAAAAGGCAATTTTGCTGTTTCGGAGGTAAGGAGCACAAAGGGTGTAAAAACGGTTATGCAGTTTTTGAGAGTACATATCATCCGATTAGATTAATTCAAAAAACATTTTGCTTGAATAGACGTGTGCAAAAAATGCCTTTACAGAAAATTTCGTAATTTTGAAAGCTTTCAGAGAAAAAAATTAAATTATCCAAAATATCAAAGTTTCAAAAAATTCAAATTTTTAAAATTCAAAATTCAAAAAAAACTAGATTGTGGAAAATTTCAAAAAATGTTAAAATTTAAACGATTTCTTACAAAAAGTTGAGAATATTTCGATATTACAGAGAAATCGATTTTTTTTTTTAATTTCCAAATTTTGGAAGAATTTCAAAAAAAAAATCCAAAAAAAATCATACTTCTAAAAAAAACTTCAAAATTTTGACAAAAAATTCTAAATTATCAAAAAAAAAGAACAACTTATAAACATGTATAAAGTTGTTTGTAGAATACGCTCGCTGCCTAATTTAAAAAGTACTTATAAGTTTAGTGTATGTATTTATAATAAATAATATATTTGAAAATATTTAAAACAATTATTGATTATTTTCATTTCTCGAATGTATAATTACGGTACAGGAAGTTCTTGCAATTTGCCTTAAAGCACGGTGTCAATCTATAATATTTTAAATAAGTGTACACCACAAACTAATTGAACATTTAGACCAACATTAATCTATAATTTCATACCAAATTAAACTTTAAACACATTAAACTGCATTTTCCTATAACTCGACTTCTACCATCATACAAGTTACACACATAAGTTATCAAAGTTTTTGGAATTTCGTCTAGTCTGCATTTGCTGTTTCAAAGTAAATACAAGTCAAGAGTCAAATTATGAGTGAAACTTCCCTCTGGAGGTTTTCTAAAGGAGTATATGTACCCTTCCCACTCGGTGCAATATTTCGTGTACAACTTCCAAGGCGTGTTCCCGAAGCGCGAACTTCAAATATAAACTTTGATTTTCTCAAACTGGTTGAAACAGAATTCATGCCGTTTATTCTAAGACTTTCAGAAGAATATGGGAATATGGGAAGTCGCAGTACAAGAAACTGCATAAATTTCAAATTTTAGCAGATACACGTTCAAGTGGATATGGAATGAGATTATGTTACAAAATCTTTTGAACGGTTGCTGAGATTTAAACGCGATGGTAGGTGGAATGATAAGTTTACAATACATTTTATTTTTACTAAAAATACCTAATTATTTTTTATTCATACTAATTATTGCAATTATATACGATAGAGCAAATTTGACTTTTAGCAATTATAATTTATTAAGCTAACATCTATCTAACTATGTTCAGTAAAATTACCAGCTAATTTATTACTGTAACTAGTAGGGTACGATATCGTGCCTTATGACAAATTGCTGGAACTTTTTGTACCCTAATGACATTTACGAGAAATTTCAAATGTTTTCAAATATATAATATATTTATAATAATTTAAATGTATGTATATAATAAATAAACGAAAAGTTGATGCATTTGAAATAAAATATGCCCATTCTAACAATAAGTCCGCTTTATTAGATTCTGTTTATATATATTTCATTCAAACATATAACTAGTTGGTATTGGTATTTAGCCTTGAGGTAAGTTACATGAACTTCCCAATATGTGTTAATAATCGACGTAATCAATAATAAACAAATTAATTTATGAGTGATTAGAAGTATTCCTAGAGGATTTATTACACATAATTGAAAACGAACGAACACGTTAACTCAGAGTATTTTCTAAAAGCAAATTTTTACAAATCAATAATTTTTATAATTGAACCAATTTTCGTAGGACGTTAATGATTTCGTTTGTTCATTAAGACCAAGTAATCTATTATCATTTTCACAACTCCAGGTTAAATCAAATTTGAATTATCGTTATAAAACTATGATAAACTATTTTTCCCAGGACTCTGCTCCTTTATAAAACTGAAATTAATCCTTTACGACATAATTCTTTCCCCGGACGTCATATGAAGCGACATTCGATATTCTCTACGGTAAAAAGGTCATCTTATTAAGTGCTTTTTGCTCGCACAATATGTCGTCGTCGTCTTTCATGCTAAAATATATCATTTTTAATATAATCTAAAGTATATATGAGCTTCGAAATGAATATAAATTGCCTTATAAATAACTTGACAAATTATCGTACTCGAATAGCCTTTTATATAGAGAGAGGAGTGTCTGGATGGAGTGTCGTGGATGCTATTTTAGAACTTTACATCGCTTTTGGGATCATATGTAAAAACCTTGTACTAGATTAATAGTAATATCAATATGAAATTTATATATGGTGATGACAAGACTAGACGTTAGTGTCACTTTGCCTTAAAGCAAGATGCATGGATTTCTCAAGTAATCGACTCAACCAATAAGAATTTAAGCTTTACTATTTAGAAAACATTTTCAACTGTTTATTTCTAGAATACAATTTGCCTTACCATTGCTTTACCTACCTATTGATGAATTGCAAACAAAAATTCATTATACGTTTTTTGTATTATAAACTTTTGTTTGAATGTCTTAAGAAGCAGCCCTTTTTTTCCAATTATAATAAATTTTATGATTCAACTACTTTAAGTAGGTCTCTAATATTGAAAATTTATTTACGCTATGTTTATCATCTAAAACGCCACATTTTTTTTAGCATTTAATTATGAAGAAACAACCCGGCGATCTTTAGCAGAAACTAATCAGCACAGTTCCTCAATGATTTCTTTCGTGCGTTCTCATTTGTTTTTATTTCATTTAAATTTCTTAGAAAAATACTAGGATGAAATATTTTTTACTTGTCTACTAATTACCAAAAAATTGCTGTGCAAATTGTTGTGCAAAACTAATCAACATGACCCTTAATCTAATTTCATGAAACGTTTTTTAACGAATTATTCAAATGGTAGCCTCTTTTGGAAAAAACTCCAATTCAATGTCAAATTTTCTCTCACATTTGTATAAATTGTTTTTATTTTTAATAATTATAAAATCGGATTTTTTGGCGAGAGGATGAACTATTCCTTCAAAAGAAATATTTATTTTGAAAAAAATATGATACAGAATTTAATTTTGAATAATACAAACTTCAAATATGAATGTTGTAATTAGCAAATTTTACAAGTTTTTATAAATTTTATTAAACAAGTATAAGTATCAATTCTAGCTCAAGAAATTCATTAGTATGTAGGTACTTAAGTCTTTAGCAACAGAAATTATGCTCAATTCTTTAATAGTAGAAATTTAGCACCAACATTTAACATGTAAAACTAACAATTAAAATGAGCCTATTATTTTACAATTTTTACTAACAAAATTAAAAAAAAAAATCGATTCTAAATTTAGCAACGAAAATTTAACATGTCATTAAAAATTCAATGCCAAAGCTAGTGATTCAGATGAATTTATTATTTTTGGACTTTTAACAAACAAATATAAATTTATCTTCTTCAAAAGACGAATAACTAACTTTAATACATAAGTTGATCATTTTTGTCAGAAACGTCGTGAAAAATTGTTTTATTTCCATTATTCTAAAACATACTCAGTGACCTCTGATGTTTTTTTTTTTTCATTTTTGTGCCAAGCGATTCAGAATGATTTAATACGTCAAAAAACTATAAAATTGATAAATACAATGATACAAAATTAATGTTGATTATTTTTGGATAGTGTATCAAAAATAATGGCATCTTTTATTACTATACTTTTATAATTATTACTTTTATTATTATATCAATAGAAAATAAGGTAACCCATCGTAGTATCCTCTTTAGTGAAATTTTAATGATAATTTCTCGAGATTTATCCCAAATGTAAAACATTTTTTATTACCTCACAAATGAGTAAAGTATGAAATTCTTTAAAGATACTATTTAAGTGTAGAGGGCAAAGGTGTGTAGACAGCCGTCCATTTAAATCGGTCGACATCGATATCAGGAAATAATCGGCCACGTGTCAATATTTTAATAAATACTTTTAAAAATATTTTTTTTTTAAAATACTTCAATAATGAGTGTTGTTATTTTTGAGTTAGAATCAACAATTCTTCATACAACCTCTAGAATAGCTTACTTATGTTTGGGGTAAAAAGGTAAAAACTTTAACACGGGCAAGATTAAAGCAACAAGATAATAGTAACTAAAAAATAAAATAAGTTTAAAAATGCGATTTTACAAGAGATATATTAAATTAATGTAA